TAATAGGGCTTTGTCCATGGAAGCTTTGTAGATTTATCTCTCTTGCATGATCAAATAACATATATTTGCTTTTTCCCCCCACAAAAAAATAAGAATGCTGCTGGTGTGTGGCTTATTGGTTTCACTTCTATTCATTTGGCTTAACTATGTAAGCCACAGTTTAGTCCAAAAGGAAAAAAGAAACAATAACAACAACAGAAAAACCCAGAGAAGTCATAGATGAAAATTTAGGAATCAAGATTTTTTGCTTTATTTAGTTTCTTGCAGCATGGTTTGGGACGACCTGTGGATACCTGTTTTCTTCTCCTGTAAGATGTTCTCCTTTGTGCACTGGGATTATAGATCTTATAGTTGGAAGGGACTTGGTGAAATTTTTCTATTTCAGTGCCTTGTTTTCTGAAGCTCATAGGAGTTAAAACAAATGAACAGCCAAACCAACAAACCTACCTGTCTCAGTTACTGACCTCAGAATTGGTAGAATAGGAATGTAAACATGGGCTTTTATTCTTACTTGACTATGTCTCAACAGACACCCCACCCCAGTGCAGTGACACTGATTTAGGTCCAGATATCCTGTGAATTACATCTGTGTGGTTTGTGATCATGTGCCATGCGATCCCAGGATTTCACACAGCTCCTTGGTTGTCCAGGACCCACAGGCTGTTGCTCTCCTTTACAGTCACCATCTGGGGCCACATACTCTACTCAGGAGGCCTGAGTGACTGGTTAGTCCATGTCCTGCTTGTTTACCTTTGGAGGTAATTCTTGGATTTCCCAAGAATCTTAATGTGACATCATTGAGCACCCCTTGGGGTGGGGATCTAGACCTGACAGCAGAAGAGCCTTCCCAAATACTTTAGAATCCTGCATATTTCTGCTTCAAGGGCCTACATTTTTAGTCCTGTCTTTGCCTTGGGGTGCCCCTTGTCTAATGCCCACGGTCCTTTTTGAGTAGTACTGAGTTTGGCATTCTGAGGCTCTTCCCAGATGCTCTGGCTAGCACCTCTGGGAGTTTGGTCAGGCTCTTGGTAGAAGTGATGTTTTCGCATCTTCTGTTTCCTTGCCACTCAGACTGCGCTCTGGTATCCCAAATGAGCCTGACCCATGACTAATTCTCAGCATTGTGACAGCCACACAGTGTGGGTTCCCAGATTCATCTATTGTGCTATCATGGGGGAGCTGCAGAAGTTCACAAAATCACAGGATTGGAAGGGAGCCTACTGGTCATTGAATGCTTGCGTCACCCCTACAAAATTACTGCCAAGTAATTATCCAGCCTGACGGGAAACTTATTACCTCCCAAGGCGGTTCATTATAATTCGGACAGCTCCGACTGGTGGGAAATTCTTTCTCATACCTATTCAGCATTGATGTGTTTCCATTATTGAGTACAACAGAATCCTATTAACCAGACCCCCACCCCCTGTCTCTCCAGACTTGTTTTAATCTCCTACCTTTGGGAGGAAAACTTATTTGTGTTTACAGGAGTTTGGTGGAGACTGCCTTCTGAAACTCAGGATACTGCTGCACATCATCAACAGACCTGTGGGCATTTAATGTCAAACACTTGTTGAATTCAACTCCTTCTCTGAAGGAGGCAGGGATGGCTGGGAGTATAGTGCCTATAGCACACGTCATTCTTTTGGCAGCCACTGCCTTGGGCACTTAGTTATTTCATATGCACAAATCTTGCCTGCACAGTTAGTTGTTATACTCCTAGGGGTGTGGACCTGTCTTGTATAGCTGTCCTCAACCAGCCCTCCTCACGACCTTCCATTCACAGAATGGATTAGTGCTTTGCAAGAAAGCACAAGAATTGCTCTTCCTAATGCTTTAGTTCTTTGCTCCAGTTGATGACTGGCAGGAGTGAGTGTGTGTGTGTGTGTGTGTGTGTGTGTGTGTGTGTGTGTATGTTGGCATGATCCCAGGACCACCTCTTTTTTACTGAGGATCTGAGACTAATCTCCCTACACAAACAAGTTTCCCCAATAAGTTTCCCCAGGCTGGCCTACAAAAAACCCTATTCCATTTCTTTCTTTGACATAGTGCTGAACTATTAGCAGAGCTAAAGTAGGGGTTAAATTGACACTTGGGTGTTGGTCTGGCAACCTGACAGCTACATACCAGGAACACCCTCTTCCACTCATCTGCCCGGTACACACTTCCTCATTCTTTGGGCCTCAGCAGGAATATCTCTTTGTGGAACCTTCCTGATCCACCCAGGCAGAGGGATCACCTCTTCTTTCTTGCTCTTAATGTACTATGGGCAGCTGAATTTTACACATGCTCTATTATATATAATATATATATATTATTAAGTTCTACTACTGTCTCCTTAGTTCTCCTGTGAACTTCTGGAGGAAAGAGACTGAGTCTCATTTCTCTTTGTTTCCATTGTGCCAAGAACAGTGCAAAGTAGGGAGATGCTCAGGGAGTATTTTTGAAGCAATTACTATTTAAATAGATGGGTTGTTTGTATAGAGAAATGCATTCCCAAGTGCTAGAGAAACTATTTATAAACAAACTCTTGAAATATAACATTTTCGAATTTGGGGATTACTTACACTGTTTTGTATGCTCCCAGAGCTCTGCCCATGGGAGGCATGACTAAACTGCATGCTTTTAGTTAACCACAGTGAGGGTCCTGTGGCCTGGAAAAGCCATGTGCTGGAACAGGAACAAAGTGAGGCAGACCCTGAGGATATAGAATCCCTGTAGCTGCCCCGAGGGAGTGCAGAATGGGCAGGCAGAATGTGGTTATCTGTTGGGCGTGGCAACCAAGCCCAGGGTGGGCAAGCAGTTGGCTTTGCAGAGCCTAATAGAATAAATGAGGAGTCATAAAGGTGGCAAAACACAGAAGCACCAGGCAAGTTTGTGTGAGGGACATACCGGCAAGGGCCTGGCAGAGCTCCACACCTAGGGGAATGCTGGCATACAGCCCTTTCATCATCCATTCGTGCAGCAAATATTTATTGAATACCTACTGTGAAGACACTTGCAAGAAAAGGGAGACTCGTGAACTGAGTATCTTGTTTCAAGTCAGGATTTATCCTAGAGATAGGAGGGGGCAGAATGGCCAATATCAAGTTAAGACCAGCAGTGGCAAGAAGAAAGTCTAGGGGTGAAGTATCACAAAAGGCCTGACAAATATCCCTTGACTGATGGGACTGTCTTCAGCCTAAGACCGGCCATTGAACCACTAAACAGTTGACTAGCCTTCCAAAGCGTAGGTTCTACATAGCCAAGAACAGGAAATGATGATTTTAACAATACCTTGATCCTGGAAAATACTTTATACTTTCTAAAATACTTTCACACTTCACAGGAGACTCCAAAATTCTTTGATATTGGCAGGGGGATGGTTTTATACCCATGTTTTGGATGCGGACGTTAAAGCATTCACAATTTAAATGGATGGGTTATCTGGGTGTGGTGGCACACTCCTGTAATCCCAGTGATTCGGGAAACCGAGGAAGGAGGATCTCAAGTTAGTAAGACCCTGTCTTAAGACATAAAAAGGGATGGGGTTGTAACTCAGTGTTAAAGTGCCCTTGGGGTCAATCTCCTGTGCCAAACAAACAAACAAAACCCAAAACTAAAAAACAAACAAAGGCAGCAAAACCCATCAGCACCTAACTGGATGGTTTAGCTTGGCTTATTAGTGATGGAAGCAGAACTAAAACTCCGGGCTCTGTATTGCCAGGGCACTGCTCTTTCCCTTGTGCCACTGCTTTGTTGTGCGATGCTGTGAAAACTCCTTTTTAAAAAGTTTATTTGTTCTAATTAGGCACATATGACAGCAGAATGCATTTTGATTCATTGTACACAAATGGAGCACAACTTTTCATTTCTCTGTACATAATACAGAGTTGCACCCCATGTGCAGTCATACATGTACCTAGGGTAATGATGTCCATCTCATTTCACCATCTTTCCTGCCCCCATGCCCCTCCCGTCCCCTCCCTCTCCTTTGCCCCATCAAAGTTCCTCCATACCTGCCACTCCATTCCTCCAAACTCTGGAAAGACCATGTTTGCTGATAGTGCAGTCCTGGTTTGATTGATTTTTGGGAAATGGGACCCAGCCAGGTCTGAGCATTTGAGAGAATACTCTCAGCAATAATCACGAACCCAAGTATTGTTTAAAACACTTGTTTTATGAAATATGCTTCCATTCTAAAAGAATGGATAATTATCTGTTGTCAAGATGTCTTCTCAAATGTATTAAAGTAAAACACCAATATCAGATACTTAATAATACCCATTGCTAGTTACTAGTAAAAAATGCTCCAATTTTTGTGATTTCACCATGTTGTTGGATTACTGAGTTCCTACAATGTGTCAGGCACTATCCCACACTTTTGAGGATACAGCATTAAACAAAACAGACAAAATTCTGATTTTATCATAGGACTTTTGTCCTTCTTGGAGAGGGCCTGTTTGCGAAGGAGGCTAACAAAACTAGGTAAAATATAAAGGATGTCAGATGTTGCTAAGAGGATAGAGAAAGACACAGCAGGAATGGGGCCACACATACAGGTTGAAGAGTGGTTACGATTTTAAATAAAATGTTCAGAGAAAACCCCACAAAAAGCTTGAAGTGCATACATCTTCATGTCTGCCTTCAAAAACTACCAAAATTTAGTAGTTTTCCAATCTACTTATCAATAATTATTAGTGAGCCTATACCTGCCCACATGCACATACATATGAATAAAACCAGCATTTGCTTTTCAAACTAACTTCCAGCACTTTATGCACCTAAAAGACGAAATGAATTTGGATTTATGTTTTTGTAGAGATATAAGGATGTGGAATTTAGCTATTAGTAATCAGACCTCCCACTGTTCAGCTCTGTGATAAGATTCCACAATAAATTTTGACTTGAAAGATTTCAGGATATCACAAAAATGGGAATGACGAATGGAGGCTATGAGATGAGGCAAATATTTGGCAAATCCTGTGAAGAACTTAGAACAAGCTTTATTAAGTGTGGCGGAATCAGATGATCATTACTGTTTTTATTTTTATCTGGGGTCAAACATAATTAAAACATTTTCTGAGGGTTTCCAAATTAGCGTAACAATTTATTAGTCTCCAAAGATCTTTGTAGAGATGGTCATCTTGGCACAGAGTTCTAAAACAGAGGGTTCTCTCTTGATCTGGAAAGGAGTTGGGAAATAATTTGTTTAAAAACAAAACAAGTCCCAAGAAACACCGTATGAGAATGTTTTGTGTCATACTGAGAACTCAGTTGAAAGGTGGTTTTGGAGATTCTGTGGCAAGCTGAGACCCAGAATGCCCCATTGCTCCTGGTGGTTTAGAACTGCAAACATTTAGGAGAAAAATGTTGCAGCTGCCCCCTTGTGGCCAACTACAAAGGTTTTTGCTTCAATCTCAATATTTACAGGAAACAACCGTATGTTTTTTTCCCCCTGGAATTATTCATAAAATAATCTAAGAGTAATAAAGGATTTTGAATTTTCTTGTGGGCTGAAAAGACCTTCCCCCTCAAATCAATACCCTGCAGATCAGTAGATACATACTTCTCAGCTGAACAAAATCCCTGGCCATTAGTAGATTATATTAAAATTGTGACTCCTATGACCATACCCCAGGGGAAGACATGTGTGAGTTTCCTGGGGTGGGAGGGAGCAGGGTTTAAAGATGAAATCCTTAAGTCTATAAGTAATTATTTTGCAGGGAGTAGTGTAGGTTGACTGCCGACTGCGAGGAGAAGTTGGAAATAACAAAGGAAGGGCTTTGACATCTCTCAGCTGGATGATCAAGGTCGTCACTTAACCTGAGAGTTTCCTCATATGTAAAATGAAATACTTCAAAGACAACGACTAGTATCCCTTTTAGCTCCAAAACTCTATAAATGTGAACTGATGGACAGGACAAGCTGCTTTTTGGGGCTTTGGGATTTCTTTCCTTTCTGGCTATGTGGTTTTATAATCAGTGAACGAAAGAGCCACTGGGGATATATTGTGTTATGAAACCTTTGAAAATTGCAGAGCTACAGGGAAATTGGTAGAACTGCTCCCTTGATCTTATGAGGCTTTTCTCAGTTTATTCAGGCAAGTACTGATAAGTATTTTCTCCTTCTTATGCATTATTCTGATGTAACATTGGGTGGGGGAAGAATTCTTGTCTTCCAGGTATTTTTAGTTTGAAAAGTTTTAAATTCAATCATTTTTAATGTGGTCTTACACCATTGGTTTATATGTTCACATGCTTCTGAAATGTTAAGGGGAACTTACCTTAATTTTAAATGTCCCCAGAGATCTTTGAGGTGGGATCTTATTGAAGTTTAGCAAAACTCTCACGAGTTGGATCTGGAGTCAAAACTTAGTTCAGGGAAAGTGTACTCTTTGGTGAAGCTTCTAAGTGAAAGTCACCCCAGGCCAACTTTGGTCATTCTGTAAGCTGCTCTTCAATGAGCCACATAAAAAGGAATTCCTACTAGGTCCTTCATGTTTTTGGAAAATGCCTTTTCCTTGTTCTGTGTGCAGATTCATTCTGGGGCATAGAATGTTTAATTCAAGAAGCAAGATTGGGTTTTAAACGATCTATACAATTGTTCAAAAATGTTATTCAGGTCAAAATTATTTTCCTTGGTTTGTTTTCTCCTTAGTTCTTTGTTCATGCTCCACTGTCTAAAGTAGAGAAGCACTCTTAAATTTGGCAACATTAATTGTTTTGGATGTTTGAAAACTTAAGCTGTAGGTTATCAAAATGAAAATTGATTTATATGGCCATCCACAGCCATGCCATGATCAGTTTACAGGAGCTTGAGAAAAATGATTATTCCAGATTATAGAGAAATTTGGGGAGATTTCATGTTGACACAGTTTTTCCCCCCATGTTGCCTTGGTATTTTCGGAATATCTTGCACATCATCTACTATATGTGGCTTTGTTGTAAGTCAGAGTTCGGTTAGATAGAACATTTGAACTCTATTCAACTTGGCAATGTGAAGAGCCTGGAGTCCAATGATTTGTCTTTAGGGCGGTGTTTGGGGAATAACAAAATATTTCAGAATCATTAAGGGTATTCCAAAAGGGAATTTGGGAGTGGTTGAAATGCTTTGTGTACTTCTAAGAAGGCAGGATGGGAGAGATTAGAGAAGGAAAATGGTTTTAAAATTTCACTGAGAGATTTATAAACATAATCAACATTACTGCAGGTTTGTAATAAAATGATAATAAAATAAAAACTGATAAAAAGTGTCTTTTGGTCTGTCTTTCTCAGTTTAATAAAACTGAGAAGGTAAAACAAAAATTCACATGTTGTAATGGCAGGGTCACTAATGAATGATATTAGAACTCTCTCCTGGCCAAAGATGTATCTGTTAAGAAAATTCAGAGAGTGTGATATCATTTTGGTGCAAATGGTGATGCCATAGATTGTTTCTTTAAACAGATTTTCAGATATCTAAAGGAGGCAGTGTGAAGTCTTGGGAGAACACAGACCTGGGTTCAGAATATGCTGGGCCACTCATCTGTTGGCTGTGTTGCCTTGGGTAGGTTCTTTTATCTGTTTCCTTACTTGTAAGTCAGGGTTATTCCTCTTCTCTTACAGGCTTAGCCAGAGAAGGCTACTTGCTTTTTCTTGCCACATTTTTCCAGATTTCAAGGAGAATTTTGCTCCATATCTGGCTGTTCTTCAATATCATGCCAATCAGCAAGGCCTAAAAAGCTGCAAGAACAAAATAAGTTGTTTAGATGTTATTGTTTGGATTAAGTAGCACATGAAAATTTAGACTCCCTCTTTGAGCTATGCCAATAAAGAAGGATGCTTTTAACATTCAAGGCAAATGGGTCTTTGCCCCATAACCTGTAAGGAAACTTGCATTTTTAGCTTTTTGTTTAGGTGTGGTGATGTGGAGAGGTAGAACGGGTTTACAATTCCTACACATCTGGTTCAAAATCTTATCCAGGCATTTTCTGTTGGGTTGTGGTTTGAACTTGGTCATTGATTGCTTTTCAGTTAGACCTCTTTCCTACATTCATTTGTTCTGGCATGTCATTCAAATATTTCAACCATTGAGTGCACATTATTGAACATGGTTCTTGACTTTATGACTAAGACCTCGTTTGCAGCATGGCCTCATTCTGGATCACAAGCTTAATTCAGGCTCTAAGTAGAGCAGGCTTTACCAAATACCAAATATGAGCCCAGGAAATCTCAGTCCAGAGGTTAGCCACCTGTTAACAGCTGGTTGTCCCATCGGTATGTGGATTGCATAGTGCCAATCTTCCAGCTCTTTTGAGGATAGTCAGAAATAAAGGATTTAAATGTGAACTCTCTCCTGATTTTTAAAGCAGCATGCAAACAAAATGGAGCCCATTGTCTGAGGACTGCCAGTCTCTAAACTTGGATTCCAGCTGCATATAGCAACTCTCTCCCTATCTGCATCCTGGTAGCTGATAGTTAATACCTAGCTCACCTAGAGTCAAATCACAGCCACATCATTTATTAGCTATGTGACCTTGGCAAGGACTTGGCTTCTCATCTATAAAATGATGATGTACTTATAGGGTTTTGGGGAATAATCAAATGAGTTAAAATATATAAAGTGCTTAGAATAATGCCTGGAATGTAGTAGGTGCTATTGAAGTGTTTAATATCATTGGAGTCTCTTTTGTATTCTCTCACTAAGGAACCACACTCCTTTAAGTGAGCTCTGGAAAGAACAAAGGAAGGAAAAGGGAAACTGACTTTTACTGAATGACTCCTATTTGCCATGGATTATACCAGGTGCCATTTCCTCATTTAGTCCTTAGGCAGATTGTCTAGGTAGGTTTTGTGCATATTTTACAGTAGAGGGAACTGGGGTTGAATGAGATTTGGTAACTTGTCCATGGTAGAGTTGGGATTTAAATTTAAGTGGATCTGATTCCAAATGCATCATTTTACTAGAAAGCTTATTGTCCTTGACTCAGGAGATTCATTGTGAATTTGATGCCTCCTAGGATCTCTATCATAGGGAAATTTGTGGGAAATTGCATTCTAAATTTTACTTGGCTCCACATTAACCAGGGAAAGCTGTGCTACTCAGGAACCCACTGTCCTTGCCAAGCACACCCCAGCCCCTTGGAGTGAGGGACTGGGTCTTTTCCCAAACTGAAACTCGAAGCATGACAATGAGTTCAAATGCTCCCAAAGGAATACGCCAAAGACTCACAATTTTAATAAGAGGCTCCAACAGTCTTGTAGACTGGATAGGACTTGTAAGGATAGGTTTGCCAGGTCAGGTATTATAGCCTTTAATGACCACACCCCCACTGCTTCCCTTCCTAACGGGGTTCCTTATGGTATCAGTGGAAACAATCAGAGTGGATGGGAGGTGAGTGGGAGGAAGGAAGAAGGAAGGGAGAAAAGAACACAATGGGAAATGTATCTGTAGAGATAAAAGAGAGCAGGCAGAAGCCACTAAGCAAACTTCCTATCAGATGCAGAAAACCTTCTGTGGCTTAGATGAACTTCCCAATGAGGACAGAATCAGAACAGGCGACTGTTTCTTTGGAAAGCCCTTTTGTCTCAACTGGCTCTGCTGAAAACAGCTTTTGCTTTAGGTAGGTGGAATGAAAGAATGTGGAGAATTTACTGAAAAGAATATTTGCTGTGATAAATCACACGAAATCTTTCCCAATTAAGGCTTCAGTTACACCCATCTGTAATTCTGAAGGAGGAAAAAAAATATGAACATGGCTAGTGAAATGTTGTTAAAGGACTTTAATTCCTCTTCCATCTGAGTGGTTTGAACAGACGCACAACTTGCTTGTCCTTGCCTCATTGACTCAAATGTGTTAGGAGTCAGTGAAATGAAGGAAACGATGAACTGAATAATTGATAGGTCTGTTTTTAAGGATCCAGTGGAAAACAAACAGGCAAAGGAGAGCTACAATTTCCCCCTCTGTCTCTTTATCATCTTGCTCTGTCTCCCACTGCATTGAGGGAGTGTCTTCAGGGCTGCTGAGTCACCTCTTGCTGTTCCCTTTCATTCTCTCCAGATGGAGTGCCAAAGCTGGGAGGACCATGCTCCCTGTGGCTGGGGCTAGGCAGGCTCACAGATGGATCTCTGGAAGTAATCCAGATGTAGAACAATGCTAGGCCCATCTTTACAGAGCCAAGGGTCAGTGTCTGGATGAATATGCAGCAAGTGCTCTTTAATGGGCTTAATCTAGAGCACCATGTTTCCAGGCTGAATGAGCTCCGGCATGTTACTTAACCTCTTTGATTCTCAGTTTTCTCATCTGTGCAAATGGAATAATCCTAAAACCCATCTCACATTAGTGTGATGATGGATTGGTGCAGTGATTGGTACCTATTAATAATACTTCAATAATGTTTTAGAGGTGAGACTAACCACAAGAGCAGGTGACCATATTTGCATTGGAAATAACCTTTCCCAAAGGCCTACTTTTACCTCTTTACATAAATCTTACAACTTGATACATTTATATAAAATAGTCTTGTTCCTTAAAGGGGAATAGTACAATTATACAGCAACTCTGTGTAGACAGAGCAGGGAATAATTAGATGAATTAAGTATGATTTTCAATACATAATAGAGGTCTAAAATTAATTTTTAAGGAAATAACTGTTTCATATTTATTATTTCCAAATACTAAATTGCTTCTCATTTTCACTAAGTGGGATGCAAAATTCTCAGGCCCAAATAAATCTTTCACAAAGTTTGTTTTTCTAGTTCATACCAAAAAGTGTCTTTTGCCCAGTGGAAAGCAACATTATTAATTCTCAGGGACTGTGCTTTCACATTTTTCTGTGTCACATTATTACAGGTGGGAGAACTGAGGAGTGTTAATGTGACAAAGCAGGATTCAGGACTGTGCCCTGCAATCATGCTTCCTTTAAAACATGTTCCATCCCCAAGATCTTCCTTTGGTAATGTTAGAGTGGGTCAGGATAGAATAGAAAAGGCCACACGTTTCAGTACCACGTAGACCTGTACTTGAGTCCTGGATATACCACTTATTATTGGGTTTTGAACACATTAGTTATCTCAATCAATGTACGGAGCAGATAAATAGTTTTTAAACTTCAGCATGAATCAGAATGGACTAGGAGGCATGGTTTTAAAGCACAGATCATGGACACCATCCTAGAGTTTCTGGTTCAGTTTATTTGCGGTTCTGTCCTAGAGTTTGAATTATAATGAGTTCTCAGGTAATGATAGCAATGAGGCTGGCTTGGGGACTACCTTACTTATCACTAGGATAAATTATGAGCCAGTAAATCAGATTCAGATGGTGGGTTGTGAACAGCTATTTGGGGTCAAGTTTCCATATCTGTCAAATGGAAGACAAACGAGGAAAGACTTGGATGGTTTTCTGCGAAGATCAGAGATATCACGTAGAAGCACCTGGCCCTTAGTGGCAGTGAATGAATGGTAGATGTTATACCCTGGAGTCAGACAGCCTTCCATTCAAGTTAAAGCTCTTCTGATTGCTGACTGAGTGATCCATTATAAAGTCCTTAAACTCTCAAAAGTATCATCTATTTGATTAGCGAATGCTATGGACTGAATTGTGGCCTCCCCATTCCTCTGCCTAAGCCCTAATCCCCAGTGATGATAATTTGAAGATGGAACCTTTGGGAAGGAATTACTGCTAGTTGAGGGATAGGGCTCCTATGATGAAATTAGTGCCCTCATAAAAAGAAATATCGGCAAACTTTCTTTCTCCCTCTCCCCTTCTCTGTCTCTCCTCAGCACTTGAAGACACAATGAAACTCAACCATTTGCAAGGCCAGAAAGAAGGCTCTCACCAGGGACTGAATTGGCTAGCACCTTGACCTTAGACTTTCCAGCTTCCAAATATGAGAAATAAATTTGTGTTTTTTAAGCCACCTGTCCATGGTGTTTTGTTATGATGGCCCCAGCTGATTAATACAGTAGAGGTAATCCCTACCGTGTAGTTATATATTAGGGATGCTCTCTATGTTAGTTATATATAATGAGATGCTCCATGTACGGCACTCAGGACAGTACTAGAGGTAGCTAATAATGAGTATTAGTGTTATTATCTAAGAAGAACAGTTATCACCCTGCCTTTTCTTTTAATTCCCCGGGCAGGATTTCTCATGTTAACTTCAGAAAGAACTCTCTAAATCTGTTGGACAATGATTTGAGGGGCATGCAGATAAGATAATTAGTGAGGGCTACTTCTAGTCACTGCCTTTCAACTTCATTGTTATAGATTAATTCATTTCTATCTCTGCATCTCATCTTTGGATCCACCCATATTTATATAGAAACAAAAAATGGCCTCAAACATATTCCTGGGCTCAGCCTAGTTGGGAGAGTAAGCCACCTTGGGTGGCATTTCTTTTTTGCAGAGCATCCTGGTCAGTGATCTTCTGGGTGGTATCTTGCACATGTGTTTCCCATTAAAGTAGCTATTGAAGAGTGGCAACTGTGAATCTTTTCTGGCTGGTGCTCAGGTTCTATTTTCTTCTGTAATTAGCCTGGGGTGGATGTTCTTGGAGGGAAGGACAGAGAGAGACTTTTTTTTATGAATTAAAAGTTGGACTTGATGCATGTGACACTGGGTTAAATTGCTTAAATTGGCTGTGGCGAAAATTTTTTCCTGTTTCTCCCTCTCTCGCTAAAATTTCCTCAATCATGAGTAGATTCCTCAAGGTCTTATGTTTCTACAATTGTCAAGCATCTA